AAAACATGGCAATCCTTGCCAAGAAGGGTGGGGAGGAGGAGGGGGAAAAAGAGAAGCAACAGCATGGATTCTAGTGCCAGCCCTGCCACTTGGGAGCTGTGTGACCATGGGCCAGTGAATTAAACTCTCTGTTGTTTAGCTTCCTCATCAGAACCCACCACATGGGTTCAATGTGAGGCTTCAGGAGGAAGATACAGGCAAAGTGCTAGGACCGGCATCTGCCAGAGTTATGGATACATAGAGACCAGGTGTATGTGGCATTGAGGTAGATGGGTCCCAGCTTCCTCTGGTCCCGCTCAGCCCCTCCTCAGTCCCTCTAACTCTGGCCCGCAGTGAACAAGTTCAAGACAGAGCTGGAGCGAAAGTGCTGTGAGGCTGGGCTCCGGGAGAGCCCGGTGGGGCTGTCGTGTGAAGAGAGGACCCGGCATGTCCGCCATGGGCCAACCTGTGTTGCTGCTTTACTGAGCTGTTGCCATCTGTCTGAGGCCCTGACTCAGGAGGCCCGGGAGGAGCAGCTGCTTTTGGGGACATGTGAGGAGGCCATGGCAGGAGGCGGGGGGGTGGGGGGCGTTGGGGCTTGCCTGAGGGGCGTGAAGTGTCATGGGACAAGTCAAGGGGCGATAAGGGCCAGAAGGGGATGGAGTGGGAGGACCGTGGGAGAGACGCAAAGAAGACACTGCCCCACATCCCCTCCCTGAAGCGGATAAAGATGAGGACTTAGATGACATCTTCCTGGAGGACCAGCCTATCCGAACCTTGTTCCCTGAGAGTTGGCTCTAGATGAAGTTTAAACTGCCGAAAAGTACATCAGGGTAGGACCACAGCCCCCACAGCAGCATCTGGTCCCTGGCCCTCCGAGGCATCAGTGGATGTCAATCATAGCCAGTGTTCCCACTGGTGACACTGAGCTCTTGGTGTAGTCAGTATAACCACCTGGAGGGGGATACAAATCCCAGTGGTTCCCCCAAAAGGACGGCCCTCTAGTGACCCACTGACCCCTGGGAAGTGACCCCCAGTGCAGAGGCTCTGAGCACAAACTCACTAATGCCCCCCCTTCCCTGCCAGAGGCATCTCCCACTACAGCACTCTTGTGACTGTGCCAGATTCCATCAGCACGTGGCAGTTGGTGGCTGTCAGCCTCAAGCCTGGACAAGGTGACCCCGCAAGCCCAGGGCTGAGGAGATGGGAGAATGGTGGTCCTGCCCGGCCCCGGGACAGCTGGCCTCTGCTTAATGCCAACATACTCCCCTGGCTCTAGGTCTCTGCGTCTCAGACCCCTTTGAGCTGACAGTTATGAAATCACTCTTTGTGGATCTCAAGTTGCCCTCCTCCGTGGTCAGGAATGAGCAGGTCCAGATCCAAGCCGTGCTGTACAATTTCAGGATGGAGCAGATCAAGGTGTGAAGCCTGAGCCCTCCCCTCCTCTCAAACCATCCATCGGTGTGTTTTATAAAGGGGTTGGAGTGTGTCCATTATTCAAAGGGGCCAGCGAAGTGGTTGCTCTTTTAAAAAGCTTCTGGGGTATTTTCTCATTTAAAACGTACAATAAGGGGCACCTGGGTGGCTCAGTCGTTAAGTGTCTGCCTTCGGCTCAGGTCATGATCCCAGGGTCCTGGGATCGAGCCCCGCATCAGGCTCCCTGCTCAGCGGAGAGCCTGCTTCTCCCTCTCCTACTCCCTCTGCTTGTGTTCCCTCTCTCGCTGTGTTTCTCTCTGTCAAATAAATAAATAAAATCTTTTAAAAAAATAAAATAAAATAAATAAAACGTACAATAATCCCAGCAGATGGCTGCTATTATTGCTTTTGGTGTAGAAGTGAGAAAATTGAGGCACAAAGAGGTGAAGGGGCTTTCCTGAGGTCACACAACACAAGTGTCAGGCAAGGTCTTAGCTCTCAACCACTATGCTGTGCTGTCACCTACTTGGGATTTCCAGGGTGGGGAGAGGGAGGGAATTGTGACTAGGGTCCTAGACCACCCAACTGCCCACCTTGCCCCAGGTCCGTGTGGAGTTCCCCCACAAGGAGGCTCTGTGCAGTGCGTCAAAGCCAGAAGCCCCATCCCTCCGGGTGGTGGTCATACCCCCACCTCCTCCAAGATAGTGCCCTTTGTGCTTCTCCCACTTGAGATAGGCAAAGTGGATGTGGAGGTCAGGATTAGGACAACTGAGGTTGAGGACCATATAAGGAAGACACTTCTGGTCAAAGTAATGGGTGCCCCCACCTTTTGTTACTGGTGCAGATAGTGGGGCTTCCCTGGGGCTCCCAGGGTGTGATCACAGGACGGACGGGTATGCCCGGGATCAACAAACAGGCCTCTCAGATGGGAGTGAGGTGCAAGAGAATGGATTTGAAAGTTCAATCACAGAGCTCCCCCTATGGGACTTTGTTGTCAGGGTGGGTTCAAGCCTTGTCTCTGCTGTGTGACCTTGGACAATTTACCTAACTTTTCTGAGCCTTTGTTTCCTTATTTGCAAGGTGTGACCATCATCACATCCAGAGCTGTGAATAATAATCAGAGAGCTGTGAAAATTATATCTCATATTGGTTGTGCACAACCCATTAATAATACTTTATTTACTTCTCTTATTTGCTTAATTTATTTACTTAACAAACACATGTTTAGCACTTACGATATAAACACTTTAAGAATAGTAACTCGTTGAGCCATCAGAACAACCACAGGAAGTAGGAGCCTTTTATGGATGAGAAAACTGAGGCACAGAGAGGTTAAGTAATTTGCCCAAGGTCACACAGCTAGGACATAGAAGGATTGGGATTTGAACCCAGATATTTGGAATCCAGAGTCTGTGTTCTTTATAGCTAACCAATGCCTCCTCCTACTGTCATTGTGATTGTCATTATTACTATTATTGCTGTTGTTTTTAACTTGCTTCATCATTACATCTCACAGGCAGGAGGGCAGATACAGCAAAAATCCCATAGCGTCCTCCTGAACCCCCAAGGTTTGTGGGGTCTGCGGGGAGCATGTGGGATCCTAGGGCCACGTCAGGATGGAGGGAGGAGCTGAAATGAGGGGGTCCAGCCAGGTGGGCAGTCTGAGCTCCTCCGGGCTCTGCACACCCTGACCTCCCCAGCCCCAGAATCTGCTTGTCACAGAAGGCTGTGCCTGCTCAACCTAGGTCAAACCCAGATGGAAGTGGTGCCAAGACAGAACTTTTTGAACATGGTGCCCAATACAGAGGCAGAAGTGTTTGTCAGTGTCCAAGGTGCTTAGAACAGAGATGACTCCTGGGGGGAGGGATTGGGAGACTGGGGAGCTGGCTTCTCCCACACATGCCTGGGCACAGGGGCGGGAGGAGCTGGGGTGCCCATGTGCGGTGATCAGAGCCATGGTGGATTAGGCCATT